GCAATTTTCCGATCGACAACTCCACTTGTCGGATCGTCAATAAAATTCTCCATTCGACGAATCGAACGAATCGATCGAATCGACAAAGTTACACTGGGGCCCTGCCATAAGAATAACGTGAAATATTTTCTAAGTCCCGCTAATGAGATGCAATTTTCCGATCGACAACTCAACCTGTCGGATCGTCAATAACATTCTTCATTTGTCGAGTCGAACGATTCGTAAGATCCCTTTTTCCGATGGAATCTACTCGACAGTATTGGACAACCCTCAACTTAACTTAAGTTGAAATTGTTTAGGGGAGGATTATCAGTCATTTTAACTTAATCCTTCTCTCGGGCTGTTTCAAAATAAAATGAGTCTGGCAATCATGGGCAATGGTTATAACTTTTATTGTTCTTTTTTTTTTCTAGGTATGATATAATGATTAGGTGCTGGAACTTAAACCCTGACTTCCGTCCTCCTTTTGAAAACCTACGACAAAGAATGGATACATACCTTCGAGAGGAGGTTTGTTATAATGAGCCAATCAATAATCCAGGTTAACGCAATCTTATGGACTTGCTCTAGGACCATAATGATGATAATAATTGTAGAAATATTTTCTAATTTAAAATTTTCGAAAAAATAAGCTTCCTATTGTAGAAATTATTAAGGGTAGAAATTAACAGCTGCCAACAGCCAATCACTAACCCCATCCGGTTCATTCTGCGTTAATGATTGATACTTAAAACCTTTTGTAGTACTAATTTTTTACTATTATTTCTTTCAGACATACACGGAACTGGTCAACATGGGGAAATATGACAGCGTGAAATACTCCAAGGTTGAAGATCTTGGAGCTCAAGATGAACCAGCAAGTGAGCAAGTCAAGACGAGCACCACTGGAAAGAAATTGGGAAAATGGTCGAGTGTCCGTTAAATAAGAGTAAATATATGACTTACTGGTGGCTATTATAGCTTTTATGCACGGCAATCGTTAAGGGTGTGTGTGTGTGTGTTGTGTTCAGGATGAAATAGTATTTTTATTTAACAAACTTTATCCTTGATGAGCTGTCACTGAGTAAGATATAGTTACATATTTATCAAAGTAGCTGTTAAGTTTAACGTGTAGACTTTATGAAAAGTAACGGTTTGCAAATGTTAACTTACGATTTCAAGTCTCAAGTTTCTTTATTTCCACGCAACAAAAATATAAACTAAACAGAGATTTAAAAAAATGTGAATTTGCCACAATTAGTTCTTGGTCGGTGTATAAACACGTTTTGATTCGATCTCGCACGTATGATATCGGTGAACATCTCTGGTATTCAAGAAACAGGAGTCATAGATTCTTGGGAGCAAATTATACTGGTGTACATAACTTCACCCAGTTACATATTACTTTGCCATTGTTATGGAATAGTGTCATCCATATAGCATTTATTTAGTCAGCCTTGTTTTATGTAATACCAGATTGCTTCTTTGCTGTATAGTGATTTAAGTACGATTTCGTTGCTGATATTAACTGCAGTTTGCTTTTGAAGTAAATACGATTTAAATTTTCACTAACTGATCAAGTCAGGAGTAGGAAAATATTTTTTAAATAGTTTGTAGAATTTTTATATAGCAACTTTCAGTTTTAGGAACACTTCCATATATCAGTAAGCAGTAATAAATAAGTAAGTTATTTCTCAGGGCGACAGAATTCAGGATTACTCAAGAAAATATTATTTAGTACAGTTTCTAGAACTACCACGTTGTTATTTAATGATGCTATCCGTATCTGACTTATTTAATCATCATGTTCTTGTTGTTATGAGTATGCTGTTACTCATTTGTCGCTCACTGAAGTGCTTTGTTTCTGATGTTAACCATTCTGCTGCAATTCAATAGCGATTTGCTTAAACAGAGGAGAACCTCCTTAAAGAGTGTTATTTAAGCTAAAATAGCTATTTTTATTACCGGTTTTTAGTGTGTAGAGTAAAAACACCTGTCGAGAGAGCACATAACAACTTACCCATGCGAGAGGGATTTACTTAACAACAACAACAACAACAACAACAACAACAACAACAACGACAACAGCAAAATTTTATTTCACTCCAGAGTAAAAAGAGAAAAATAATTTAAAATGTCATATCGAAGCAAACATGATATGGGTGTTCAGCTGGCTACCCGAAAAACCTGAGAGTCGAGGGGAACCAGAATCTGAAGAGGTGTTTTGATCTGCACACTATCATTAGGTAATATCTAATTCTTGTAGAACACTCCATGTAATAGCTTGAATGAAAACTTAAATCTAAAAGCTAACTTTGTCTACAGATATTTCACATATATATGATACTTCCCATCAAAATCAAAATCAAACCACAGGCCTAGAAAAATGCAGTTGTTGTCGTAGGCTTACTTTTGCGCTGGGGAAAGAAATAGGACACTTTCTGTCCAAAAGGAGGAAATGGGGAACACACGTTACAAACTAAACATTGCAGAAACTATGTGGGATCTGTACATCAGAAGCCAGAACTATTGAAATATTGATTACAAGTGACCACATCTTACTGTCTTTCTCAGTGTGACGTAAGCAAAGAGGTGTGCCCAAAAAGGTCAGTAGTTATTACCCACGGTGACGGATCAGAGCTTATTTCAGTGTTCTCATTTTCGAAGCTGGAGGCCCATCAGGCCGGTGCTTTTCCCCGGTTTCCGAAATTTAAGGCGGCTATGAGTGTCCCCACTCCTCCCTGGATGGGATGCCAGTGGATCCGTAGGGCCAGCTCTCGGAATTATATTGGCGGGTATCCAGTTATACACCATACAAGCTCAACAAATCATCCGACTTCGACTCAGAAAAAAGTACCTTTCTAACCAACGCAAGGGCACAATTCAATCTGTTCAGTTCGGATTGACGGATTTTCGAATCCTTCTAAAGCTAACAATATGCCTCCTTCAAAACGACTGTTCAACCAATGAGGTACGCTCGATTACCAGCCGCTGTTCGGGAAAGAAGACTGGACTCGAGAGAGAAGCGGAAATCGAGTCTACCAGCGAGAGCTTGCGTGATATTGATAGTAAATTCAAAGACGTAGATTTTATCCTCGAATATCAAATAGAAAACTTTTTTCGTGGTTCTTCTGAGAAACACGAGTGGAAGTTTGGGAGAACGGGAAATGATGTGGGCAGCGAGTGTTTCCACCAATTTTCGTGTTCTCCAGAAGGCTAGCCAACAAATTGTTTGAGGCAATCTCAAACCTATTGAAGATCTACATCTGCATAGGTTAGTAGGTAAAAAATCGGTGAAACATCGCGCCGACTGTAGAAAATCTAAAATAATAAAATAAAGAAACATAAAGGATTAATGAGAGAAACGTTTTACCCCTCCAGGAGCTTGACATAATCATATTTTCACTGGCAAAATGTCAAGATTTTTTCCTAAACTGAATTAAACTGGCTTAATCCGGCTCCAAGATTTGAATGGAGGGCAACAGCCAGCCTGAACGTCCGCTTTTTACTCTGCCCCGCCGCCCCTCCGCCTTCCCCGGGGTGGGAAGGTGAGGCGGGGGTAAAAGTTATTTTCACTCTTTTTTATTTGAGTCAAAACAATAAAAAACTTAACACCTGATAAGAAATTATTTTCGCTTTAGGACTTTTTACCCCCGATAAATGGTGAGACTAACACAAAGTTGTTTAAATTTGCATTTAGACCTGGGAATTCTAATCTTGTATCTCAATAAAGTTTGCCGAGCATTTAAGAACAAAAGAAAATTCATTAGAATTACAGATACAATTGTCACATTATAAGCATTCAAGTATTCGACTTTGCTATCACACGAGGAAGATGGTGATATCTTATGGTACAAGATGCACAAGACATTGTGAAGCTTTGATTTACAAAAACTTTGTTTTCAAACGATGGCGCAATTAGCGAGAATTCAACATCTAAGAATTTGAGGATTTGTTTCCTTGGAAGGGTCCTCTTGTGAAGTAGTTAGCCAAGCTTTGTATTCACGACATTTACACTTGCCCTCGATACGTATAGCGGTGTAACAAAATGTACTTTAAATAGAATTTTAGCCGTAGAAAACTTAAATTACTTTTCAGTTGTGGCCAGCAAACAGATAGTTGTATGTTTGCAAGGGATCATGGGTGATTGGTTTGAACATGGCGTCCGCGAAAAACTCTCCGCTCTGGAATAGATTCTGTAATAAATGTCTTTTCAGCTTTTACATCTTTGCAGCTTGTACAGTATAGATAACAAACTCTCATTTCTGGGGTTATTTAGATTTCATGCGAAGGAATTTTCGTTGCAGGCGCTTGCGAGGGGAAGGAATTTTGTGTTTCAAAATGTTTCGACTTCCATTTAGCAGGATTTTGCGTCACAGAAGTTTTAGGTTCAAAGAATAATGGATGATAAAATACTAAAATAACGATGTGAAACGCAAACAAGCTCTACAGTTGCGAGATAAACATTAAAAGTTTTCGTACCGGCAAAACTGATATCCCCACCGTGCTATACAAGTAGGCTTTGATGGATTGTGCTGGCATAATGTTTGGCATAATTCGTCAATACGAGCATAATTTTCATCGATTTTCCAAAAAAAGCACTGTTAGCATAATTTGCACTTTAGCCAGTTGTGCAGCACAAAATTGTCATTTATTGATCATGCAACCAGTTGTTTTGGCCCGAGATCACTGTTATAGGCAAATTTTTAAAGTAAAATCAATTTTTTGTCTGCTTATTGTCACGTTGTTTTGAAATGTCTGGAGCAGGGGATAGAGAAAGGGACAACTGGTGAGTCGTCTTTTAACTGCATTCAGACCGTCTTTATAATTATTAGAAACGATGTGATGTCGGTTTCGTTTCACTGCATAATGTGAATGGGGATGGTCTGAAACAACATAGGAAGATTTTGAACTTCTTCGTTTTCTTGTTTTGAAATTTGGTTTCACATAGTAAGATACAGATGGTAAAACAAATCTAAAAAGAGCTCTATTGACGGTTTACAAAGACTTAAATTTTCGCCAGTGTGGATAAATGGCGATGCATTTGTGTGGAGGTACCAAATATTTCACTTTTTAAAACATGCTTGCTTTTTGTAAAGGTCAGTTAAACTTAATTAACTGCTTCGGATCTTCGGCCATCTCGACAAAATCTCCTGGAATATTCGGGGTCTTTAGAGTTTGTCAGAAATTGCCGGAAAGTTAAGAAACACAGTTTAATTTGCGTTCATTTTTCCATAACTAATGATATGAAGTTTTTTTTCAACTTTGAAATACTTGTGTGCTCATACAAAAGACCTCTATCGTTTCAACTACAAATCAGCCTCTGCATACATCATGTAGCTAATTCAATATTACGTTTACGTTTAGTGCAGGATTTGACGCATCAGAGGAAACCAAGAAAGTAAGAGAGGCAAGAGTTTGAAAGAGAAATTGGAACCGAAGACAATGAGCCATAAAATCAGAGGTAGATATTTAAAAAAATCATATGTATTCTTCTAAATGACTTGATGGTATCAGGGATATAAATGGTATCTGTTTGTTGTCGTAATACTGCACTATGTCGACACAACTGTTGTAAATTAGAATCAAGAGGAGCGCGAGAGAAAGGGATTTTTCAGTTGTCATTTGACCCCATATTACGACTGAGTCGCAAATTAAGGTCCTGATTCGATTTTTGTTATAGAAATTTGACGGAAATTTTCCGAAATACCAGAAATGACTGATACATAATTGTTAACCGCGTGGTGACCAAACCCGTGCCTCCTCGGCCACATTCTAAGTCACGTAACTTTTTGATGTGTAATCGTCAAGAGCAATTAATTTATTGATGTGCTGCAAATTCTACCAATTGTTTTTCTTTTACAAGATGAAATATATTTTATTTGTTTTGAACATTCACGTTACAAAACACAAATTTGTCTAGACTTGCAAAATCATTACATCATTCACGCAAAACAACAATAATAGGGAGCTTAAGTAACGACAACGACGACGTCGAAGACGACGCCTAGTAGAAAACGAATTTACATTTTAGAAGCAAAATTCGCGATTTTCTAGATCTGTTCGGTACGCCAATGGCTCTAAAAACGTGCTCATGCAGGCTAAATATGCAATGAAATCGTTCAATTCCAAATGGAAATACGAAAAATCAGGCGTCGTCGTCCAGGTTCAGTAGACGACGCAGAACTTGGTCATTTCATGTCGTTGTTTTGCAGAAGACGGCAAAGAAATGTACAAAGATTTATAACGCACGTGCACAGCTATTGTTTCGCTCATAAACCTTTTGTTTAATGACGTTCTCGTTGTCGTCGTCGTCGTGGTTTGCTTAAGCTCCCCAATTATTCATTTGAGGCCACGTGCTAAATAAGATCACGCTTAGTTTGAATTTTTATTTCTCTGGATAGCCGCACTCATTAATTTGAGAGAGCAATTTTCAATTATATTCCTATTTTCGACGAAGCTTAGATCATAAAAGAGAATATACGTGGAGAGTAAGGCGGTACTCACTGTTTTTGTTCAATTAGTTTTTGGATTTTAAATGAGGCTGTTTACTACAAAACAAAGTTATTAACAAAGGCTTCGAAGAAGGCAAATTAAAAACTCTAACACACATTGCGTGACAACTGTCACGCTGTGTTTGAACAAAAGACAGTTTATCTTTAATTTAACCGCGTGGTTTAAGGTCTAAGCATTATAAGCTTCTTGTTATGTGTCAGCGACGTACATTTTGCTGGCCCTGCGGGCATATATGGATAAAAATGCATTCATGGCTTATGTCTGCGGATGAAAAATTCTGTATCAGTAGGAATTCAGTCAAACCGACTTTACCAAAACAACGAAAGGTCCACAATGACTTTTATTCAAAGTTGATCACACCTATTTTATAGAGTGTGTGAGCGGCAATCTCTTATCTGATAAACTATCAAATTTACATTTAAACTGGCTGCTAGAAAGTTTAATAGAATTTATTTGATTTCTGTTCGTTAAAGCAAGTGAAATTAAGAACTAAACTTACGAAGAAATCTTACTGTTCCTTTGTGCAAACACTATGTGAAGGAAGAAGCAGGCTGTAATCCATTCGAGTGTAGATAATCTTTCTGTTGAATATATCCTGATTGGTTTAGCAAAGCGCGATGTCAGCGACATGTGGCATTTAAAATTAAGTTTGTGAAATTACAATTTCGGGCTGCCTGGAGTAAACTCCAGAATTTGTAGGTGATTTTGTGTCAATAACTTTCGTTGAAATTGCTATCATGATATCACCTTGAGTATTTTAAATTTTCCCTGGAAACCGGGAAAGTAAAAACCTGATATTATAATAGGAAACT